ATTTTAGGTCTTATAAGCTATTAGAAAGTAAGTATATTGTTTTATACTCCCTAAGAAGTACTTATACCTTTATAACGTTTTCTATATTAGTCTCTTAAAGCTATAAAAGGAGTAAAAAGGTACTTATAAATATAGCGAAACCCTATTAATACTAAACTTAAAGGATAATAAAGGTAAATAAGAAGTCTAAAAGATTAAAAACTAAAAGAGATCTAAGGGCAATACTTTTTTCCTTATTAAATAAAAAGGATAGCTAGCTAAGTATAACTAATAGGTTAATACTAAAGATATAGTAAATAGCTAAGACCTTATTAAAGAATATACTACTTACTTAACTAAGAAAAAGAGGTATAAGACTAAGTAAGGTAAAGAAACCTATTAGTATAAGGAGGCGCTACTAAATCTATAATAAATCCCTACTAAATCGCTACTAACTCGTTAATATATTAGTATACTTAAACGTCTTATAACTATATATAAAATAGTAAAATAAGAGAATAAGGGAAAACTATTTATATTACCTATTAAATATTATTAAGGAAAATAAAACTAAACTATAACTCTACTAAGACCCTAATAATAAAAGAGAGAAAGATAGTTATAATTAAATAAAAGAAAGATAAGACTTATCTATTACTTTTAACTACCTTTCTTTTTCGCCGGCGTAGCGGGAACTAATTAAGGCGCCCCCTTTACTATACTAAATACCTTTAGAAATACTAGAACTACCTTATCCTCCGCTCCTTCCTTATCTTTTACGTCGAGACCTATCTCTATTAGTATAGTACTTATCTCGGCCTTAGTAAATAGTAAGGCGTATTACTATAAAGTATAGCTAATATTACTATCGATAAAGTAGAGTTTTAACTAGGATTCCTAGGCCTAGTACTTTAAGCTTATATAGGTAATATTAAATAAGGGCGTAAGGTTAAGGTAAATAATAAGCTCGTAGCGCTTATTAATTAGTATATAGTAGTCGGTATACTTAACTTAGTATATTATTAGGCTATCGCTAATAAAAGGGTTAGATAAAACTTATAATAGTAGACTTTTATATACTTATAGTCTTAAAGGACTTATAATAGGCCGTCTTAGTAGCGTCGAAAGCCTTAGCTAAATACTATACTATAATAGTAAGACGGCGCCGATTAGCTTCCTTAAAAATAAGTACGCTTATATCTAAGCTATTATTCTTAGTATCCTTATTACCGGTCTTTAGCTTATTAAGCTTATATAAGTACTTAACGATAGCGACTATATTAGCCTAGTTATTAAATATAAAAGTAGCGGCCTTAAGAAGGATTAGCTTATTAATCGTAATATTTAAAGTTAAGGTAAAACTTACTTAGTTATAGGTCGCGGTATATTTATAGTACTACTTATAGTATATCGAGGAAACCCCTAAGAAAATATAGCTAATTAAGAGTACCTTAATAAGCTTAGGCTTAGTTGAACTATAGTCTATAATAACTATCCTAAAATAATATATATACTAAAGCTTATAAAGGATAACCCCCTAAGCCCTAACTAAGCGGGCTTTAGCCTTAGATCGGGTATACTTTTTTATAGGAGCGCGACCGCCTTATACCGCCGCTTAGGTACCTTTATCTTTAGCGCTACTATTCTTAGGTTTATTAGTAAAAGGAGTTAGATCGTAGCTATCTCTATTATTACTATTATTATTATCTTAGCCTTTATTTAGCTAAGTATTAAGATTATCTTAGCCCTTATTTAGCTAGGCCTTATTATTAATATTAGCTTACTCGTTCTAAGGAGCGGCCTAGGCGATAATCTCCTATTAGCTAGAGCCGCCCTATTAAGATAAAGTAGCTAGGCTATTAGTACTTACCTAGGAGCGCCTAAGCACGATCTCCTCGCTAGTATTAGTATCGCTAATAGGGGTAATAGACTTATAAGTTTCCTAGCTTATAGAGGTAGGCTTATTAGTAGTTAGAGTTAAAGTAAGTTAAAGTATTTAGTAGGGTAATAAGGGTATAACCCTTACTAATATTAGGTCCTAGACTAGAAGTCTCCTAGGACTAAGATTCCCTTATACCTTTCTTAGCTTTCTTCGCTAAGGGGGAACTAGCGTTACTATAAGACTTTTAGGCCGATCGCTTACGCTTTAAGTATAAACCTACTAGTACCTACTCTTATATATAGTATAGGAATTCGGCGTTATAGTTCTTTATCTTCTTTAGTATAAAATATATTATCGTTAATAAATCGTTAATAAAAAGTAATATAAAAAGGTATAAAGGATTAATAAAAAAAGGCGTAAAACTCTATAGTAATTATAAGTAGGAGAGTTAAAGAAAAAAAGAAAATAAAAGAAGTAAGAGATATATACGCACGCTCTTTATATTATAGTTATATAACTAATATATAAGCGATACTATAATAGTTACTTAGTAGTAACCGCTAGTATAATAACTATAAACGTTACTAAGTATAGACTAATATATACTTATATAGGCGTATACGCGCGATATATAACTAAAACTACCTCTCTTCTTAACTAAATATATATAGTATAGTAAAAGTAATATATATTAAAGATATAGCTAAGACGTTTATATAGGAGGAGAGATAATTATAAGAGCGCTACTAAGAGGTATAGGCTAATAAAGCACTTAGGTATATAGTACTAATATATTAGTAGGGTATTAATAGGGAATTATACTTACCCCGCTTATATATTATAAACTACTTACTACTTTAACTAAAGAGAAAAAATCCTTCTTCTTATAAGCTTTAGTCTTATAATAAAGAGAATATAATATATATAGCATAGTACCTCTAGCTATCTCTACTACCTAACTAATCGTACCATAATACGTATTCCCTTATAAGCTCTTACTTAAGGGACCCCTTTAGTTTCTATTAGCTACTTATAAAGAAAGGTTTAATAGTTTACTAAGGACTACTAAAAGAGCCTTTAAGCTACTAAGGTAGCTAAAGGCCTTATAGCTAAGGGCCTAGGTAAATACTATATATCTATTTAAAAGACCCCTTACTTAGCTTTTAGCCTAAAAAAGAACCTTATAAGGAGGCCTAAGCTAACCCTTCTAGCCTTTTACTAGCTCTTCTTTAAGGCTAGCTTTTTATTTTCCTTCTTAAAGAAGACTAATAAGGTAGACTAAGACGACTACCGCTATAGCTAAGGAAAGTATATAGCTTAGCATATTATCCTAAGGTGCCTAAACTATAGGAGGGAAAGAGAGGTCCTTTACTTAGCCTCTAAGGGATAGAAGGAGGCCCTTAGCCTACCTTTTCTCTATAGCTCTAAGGAAGGAAGGGAAGCCCTTTTAACCTTCTTAGCTAAAATAAAGATAGGAATAGCTAAGTAGCTTAAAAAAGAGTAACCTAGGGGCCCTAGGGCCCTTAAAGGGGAAAAACACTATATAGGAGGAACTAAATTAACCTTTCTTTTATCTTTACCTTTATAGCTACCCTTTCCCTAATTAGTTATAAGCCTCCGGGCTCTATAGCTAGCTAGGACTACTAATAGAAGCCTAGGCCCTTCTTAGCCTCGCTATAGCCCTAGAGGCTATATACGAGTAATAATAATAAAAAATAGTTATACCCGCGGACTCCCTCTTTTAAGTAGGACAGCGCAATCTAGACCCTCTTTCTTAATGCAAAGACCTAATAACTAGTGATAACTACCGCATTCGGTGCCTCCAGATACGGCAAGGGCATCAACGTCGCTTCTAGGAATAGGGGGGGGGCGCGCCTGGGGGTGCGTGTGGGCGTGAGCCCAACCTTCCTTCCTACACATTGGTCTGTGGCCCGCTGTGACCGTTGTTGGGCCGTGACACTTTTCGAAAGGCGCCATAAAAACCCACGGGTACCCGTTATTTTCCTAGGCTGCCCACGGGTGCCCATGGGGCCCCAATTTACAAGCCTAATTAGGCCCGAGCCGCAGAACCACCGTTCTGACACAACGGCTGACACGAGCCGCACATCTCAATTCGGCCCATGATCGTACGTCAACTATCCCTTTTCTGGAAACTGTCGGACAGGCGGTAGGTTTAGTGGTGGGATAGGGCCGAGGTTGTGGTTGGGCCGGCCATGCATTCTTTAAGCCTTTTCCCATTGGTTGCTCCAGATCTTGGCGTGTGCACTGCCTCGACTATCATTTGCCTCTCTAGACATTTAGCGACTAGTTTAATCGAGGATCCTACAGACTCAATCACTTTCTCGGATCGGTATCTACGGCGCCGGTCGCACCATTTATCATCGGCTGACTGGACTTCGAGATGAGAGCCTCGGGAGGGCAGCCAGTTGAATCTGTAGATCCACTAGTAGTATCACTGGGTCGCGCTGAAGGCGTCTCGCCGTGTAGGGGACGTTTATGCTTTCAAGTCGTTGCGTCTTGCTTGTCTATGTCTTACAATACTTATCTTGCGGCCACTGTTACAAGACTTTTATGCCAAGCCAAGGCGGAAGAAGAAGCTCACTCGCCTACTCGGTGTCAAATAAGGGAGTCGTAGGAGTTCTCGTCTTGGTATATAATCTATATGTATGGTCACGAGAAGATGCGAACGTGCTTAAGAGAGAAAGCGTGCCGAAGCCGAGAAAGCGGGCATGAAGTTTCAATGTGTCAGGCGGGGATATGAAAAAGGCCTCACTTCTCTCCTCTACGGTCATGAGCGACCTGCTTTACCCCACATCAAAGGTACATATCCCTGATATATCAGGTGCTTGAGAGAAGGCACGTGGCTTATTTATCGGACAAAACAGCTTTGTCTGACCCTTGGCGATCAAACAAGGGAGGGAGAAACTGTTATACTTCATTTGGGGATATAGCAGTGCTAGTGCAGCGGGTGACAGGGTGCGGGGGGTTGCTCCGTTAAGTTAGCAGCGGCACGGCTCGTTGATTTTTGCGCCATGTAACGCTTCATCAACCCCTGAAGTCTAGCCAGAGTTTATGATTTGTTGCTGCGATATTGCAGCAGCAGGTCCCGGCTTTGTTAGCAATTTTCCAAAAGATTTTATTAAACATTCTTATAGTACTTTGAAATCAAGTCTAAAAACTTTTCGCCACCCAAGTCTGGTGTCTTGAGTGATGGACAAACGTCTGTTGTTGTATCGCTCCAGGCATCCCTGCTTGATATCGTCGAGCCACACTCGAGCAAGACTGTAACAAGCTCCTTGCGATAGGCTATGATTGGTCGCTCCTTGAAATACCCAAGGATCTCTCCTTGATGTCGCAATGACTTGAGGGGCTCGAGAAGTCGCACTATAGGTCCTCCCTCGACGGTTGAGCCGATTAGCTCGGCTTGTAGCCTGTCGTCGTATACGTCTTGGCGAGATGCTTCCATCGTGCCTCTGCAGTCGCCAGTCAGCCTCCTCCATTGACCAGTGCGCGGCTCTGGCATCACCCACTTGTTGCTTATCGATGGGCTACTCTCGGTGAAGTCGGATGACTGCAACTTTCCCAACCTCTTCGTCATGCAGTTGTAAAATAGATCAAAGGCTCCAGCGATGACAAGAATGGGCGTTCCTAGGGCGAGTCCCCACGGACTATGTTGGCGGGCGCTGGCATGAGCTAAACATTCATGTACGTTCCGCCGAGGGTGACCTACGGGGGCTTGTAGTCCCATAGCGAATGTAGGAGCGAAAGGGCGATGCCCGAGATGGCAACTACAGCTCCAACTTGAATCGTGGTCCAGGTAGCCCAGTAGAGCGACATTAGGTCTTCACCCTCGCAAAACTGAAGCGCGAGAAGCAAAAAGACCTCGGTGATGACGACGGTGGACGATAACACAACGCACAAGGCGTGGAGAAGGATATATCTCCGTAACAGTCTCGCACGGTCTTCACTCGGGAGTGACAAGTGCTCCAGAACTCGCTGTCCTCTTGGCCGCGAATAAGGTCAGCGTTATCAACAATGCTTCAGTCAAGAAGGCACCATACTTTTTGAATAGCGACGAGGCAAGGAATAGCACGACGAGATTGGTTCCGAAGAGAACCCAGTAGGCGGTATATACCATGGTGAATTGGTGCCGCTCGAAGTTGGAGGCAAGCGGCGCGTACTGAAGACAGAGTGCCTGGTCCGGTTCGTATTGGCCACCCATGGCGCATAACTAAATGCTGGAATGAAGAATATCGACTCTTCCAATGTCAGGCTGCTTCTGGTGGGACGGGGCAGGCTGTGGCTATGGTGCGAGTCAACGGACTTGGATGTTAAGGCGCCTTGTTGCTAGACCCGACCATACAGTCCCGACTTATACACCTGATGCCGGCATTCAGGCTCTCTAGCTGCCAGCTGCATGTATCGGCTGAAACCGAGCTGAAAACGGAAGGGGAGCCAGCGGTGCAGAGAGGGAGTCCTCAGACTATCATCCCGCATCGTCGGAATGCCCTGACCCCCAGGGCGTGTATCCAGTCAACATGCACGCGATGATATATACTTGACTCTTCGAATTGTGGACCTGGTCGTCTCAGCTTCGTCTCTCATACCTCCTAGCCAATTTTCGGGACAATATCAAGGTATTCATGCACATTACGTAGCGGCAGGGTTGTCCCTGGGGATCAGGGCAATAGCTCTAGCTTGTTACGTTGATGGGACTAGCATCAAGCAGTGTGTCTGCACCCCGAGGCATTCTTGAGGCATCCTTCAAGCATCCCATTCTGTCGTCTTCCGGGATCTTAAGGGTCAATACTGCGTGCACTAGTAGTTTCGGAACTTGATTAATTCGTTTGGATCGCGAAACATGGCCATTGTCCTTAACAAACTTTGCAGCGCAAAACATTACGGAATCCAGGATGGGTGGGTATGGTGCGGTTCGACTGGCAGGGTCAGCCTCCTGTCGCCTTGTACTTGTGTATGGGCGTTATATCTACCTTGGCATTTTCTTTAATATTTTTTCCGAAACCCTTTCTCCTGTCAAGTTGCAAATCATGTCAGCCAACACTCCTGGAACTCTGGTGAATATCAGGATTGCTCATTCGCTCACAGTCTCGCTACTCTGCCGTCTCTTACTCGGGGTTTTCCAAGCCATGCCTTTCTCTCGCCTTGCTCTGCCTATCGCGGCCCTGTCCTACTCGCAACGCGCGGCCACTCGAATCCGAGAACAGAGATCTGACTACAAGCTCAAGGCAGAACAGGGGCCTGATGAGGCTCCGAAACCGCCGAGCCAGGCCAATTCAGTCGATCCAGCTGACCCCAACGAAGACCCAGGGCCAAACGATTTGAACAGGTTGGGTGACGACTTGGACGCCGTTTCTGCCTTCAAGCCTGACGAGAAGCTCGCCCAAGTACAAAAACAGCATGACTAGAGAACGGCGACTGGCTTGCCTTGGATTGGTCTTTTCGAGGGGTTCATGTTGACATTAGATATGGGCTTGGTCGGATGACTAGGATGCGCTCAAAACGACAACACAGCCTCAGTGGTAGGAGGCACGGTATTCAATGCTAGGTCCGGTTTGGGGGAAATAGTGCAAGTCTTGGTCCCTAGCATTCAGCGTCACGTCGCGTCTCTAATCCCTCAAGTGCTGCTGCCCACCCTAACCAGTAGCATTGATGGTCTCCTGCCCCATCGTGGCGGAGGCCGACGCCCTACAAAGCACCTCGGTCTCATCCAGGTGTCTGCCACGTGCCGACCGCGGAACAGCCCCCTTTTCGGTGCATCCACTTTGATCCTCCTTGTTGCACTCCAAGTAGGGCACCAACTAAGCAAGGTTTCTTCCGAGTCTGTAGCCGGCCTGCCGCCAGAAGAGACTGCCTCGGCCATCCCCAATCCGATTTTACACTATCTCGTTCCCTGACTCCATGTATTCAGGGATGAAGCATGCGACAGACTCAGGCATCAAGGATACGCCCGGGAGAGTAAAGAAGTCGCACCACTAGGCTCGCATGAGGCACAGTGGCCACACTCCCGACGCCATGCTTTGGTGTCTCGCAACGAACTTGACTGAAACCAGAGATTGTAAAGCCCCGTTACCGCCGAAGGACTGTCACTATCGAAGAGGGCGGCAAACTAGATACACGATGCCGGAATTTCAAAGTCCGTTGCCATTGAAAGGGGGCAACGGTTAACCCCGGGGCCGGCCCATTGTTCCAGCAGCTACCCGTGCCATACCGATTCATGCTGCTCTCTCTCTCAAGGCCGAGGGCCACGGTATTTCTGCTGAAGCTGCTCAAGAAGCCCAGGTGGCCATGGTAAGCGAGTCACGGCCAACGAAACGAGAACGTGACGGTCAAGGCCAAGTCGGCGTGCAAAGTGTCTGATACACTGTACTTGACATGCACGATTCGCTATTCATATTTTCACTAGGAGGGTTTTATACTTCGTGGGTTGAATACGTCAAGTAAGGACATAGCATGCGCTTGTTGGCTGACAGCACCTCTTAATCCTTTCGGAGGCCAGATGCCGATGAGGACGAATTTACCAAGCTAGCACCACTAAATAGCCCCCCCTATTTATGTCCCGGCCAGCGGGTACATAAGTGGGTTAAGTGATTCATCATCCCCGTCAGAGATCTCCCGGATCATCGTCGTCCCCACCGAGAAATTCCGGATTTCTGTTATCCTCAGGATAATCGTCCCCGTATTCATAGACGTCCACATCATCATGCTCGTAGAATTCCTCTACCTCGTCATCATCTCCGTCAGAGACCCTCCAAATCGTGAAGTGCACCCGCTCGACAATTTGGTCCGTTTCTGCATCCACAAGCTGTAATGCTGAACCGAGCAGAGTCTCGTCTGGATGACATAACTCTGAGACAGTCAGGTTAACGCTAAAAGACAATGTCGCCGTCGAATCCTGTTCTGTGAGTACGTGGCGATTAATCGTATCAACTGTCGTGTCCACGTCAGGACCGCTCGAAATATGCCGCTTGAACGACAAGACGGGGAACGGTAAATGTAGTACTGACACTCGTTGCTGGAGAAGAGGCTGTCCGGCTGCTGTTCCTTGTCGGCCAAGCTGAAAGGGGCTTGGTGGTGAAAATTCGAAGAGGCCGGCTTGTGAACGCTATATGTCATTCGTCTGCGCGTCCTGTCCCTCGATTCGGAGCGTGACCTTACCGAGAAGACGGTCGATGGGTGTTTCTCCCTCGGCCTGGAATATTGACGGCGTCGGTGGCAGCAACCAGGCCGGCGACGACGAACACAGCGGTCTTGAAGAACATGGAGCTGTTTGTGCCAAACTAGAAAGTCGCCGAGCGGTAGACAGAAGAGGGAAGGAAATGCAGAAAGAGAAGGAGACAGATCAAGGAAAAGGAAAAGGTGTGTCTTAGAGGGCAGGGTCGAGTTGGGTTTGCATAGAATCAACGAGGAGAGGCGTGGACGTGGAAGGGGCGGGTGAATATGGCATGCTTTTACACAAGGGCCCGACGCTAGCTCTGAGGAAAGTCTTTCCGGAGTTGGCTGGACTTGCCCTTGCATTGTTGGATTTGACGAGCTCATGCATTCTGTGTGCACCATCGGCCATAACCGCCATACAGGATTCCGGAAGGCTTGGCATCGTGGTGGTCGGTAGGGTGGTGCTGCAACAGGCCGACCCACGTTTGCCTTGCCCCCTACTTTTGCACAAGCGTGTAACAGACAAACTACCGAATCATGCTACTTGATACGTGACTGCTTCTCAGCTTTTGGCGAGTGGCAGATGTCAATCTAAGTTAAATGAGCATCACGCCTACCCCCAGCAGCTTCATGACACATAATATGGTCTCTGGGTTTCAAAAGATGAGACGCGAGATCATGGTAACAAGGGCATCGATCATGCATGATACGAAACTATATCTTATCGATTAGTAGTGGCTCGACACCCAAGGACGCACGGAGCACAACTAGGGAGTCTAGAATACAACGAATTCCCAACGCACCAAGTCGTGGGGGATGTAGGCCTGGCCATTGGATGCCCCAGACCCATCCAAGAACGTGCGTGGCTATTCCTCCCCGTCATTACTTAGCCTGTTGGCTCCCCTGCGTTGATGAATTTTCCATTGCCTCTGTTCAAGCCCCAGAATACTAGATTGCCCCAGAAAGTAGGTAGCCTATCGCCGTCATCGCCTCCATCTTGCCGAACATAACAACTCAGCAACTTTTCACTTCTCCAAGCACAACTACGGCCCGAATTAGCCCACTCTTCTACATTACAGTCAGCCTGACGCCTTGAGCCTCGACGACATGAACGGCCAGCTGCTCAAGACGGAGTATCTGCCCATCCAGATTGGTGGTATCTTTGCAGCTTACGGGGTCTCTCTGCTGCTAGTTTCCATGATACTAGCCCTTCTTTCAAAGAAACGACGGCTTCACAACGACAATCGTGCTACGGCCATGTCTACACATCTCTATGGCTCGGGTCATGGGCCTGCTTTGGCATTTCCGACGGACAAGACTTCGTTACTGCCACTGGACGAGCTGGCCCTAAAGAAGGGCTATTTCTCAACTACAAACAGCATGCCTCATCCGGCGAGTGCAGTTCCATACTCGCCATACCAGCCCGGCATGTTCTGCACCACTGTCACTTCCTTCCTAGTGACGGAACAAGATAGGAAACAAGCAAAGAGAATGGCTCCTGTAGGCCCCGTGTTGGAAATGGTGAAGAGCCCTGATGAAATTTGGTAGCGAGTGGATCGAGGAGGAAAGGGCTTGAAGGAACTAATCGACTTGGCCGTGCAATCGGTCTCGCCGTACAATTCCCAATCACGTTCAAACACTATGAGTCATAAATTAAGACACAAGGCCATCGGTTGCTTGTTAGCTCGAAAATCGCACAGAAGAGGGCTTTGTAGCTCGTCTCCCGGATCTTTGAGACTCTAAGAAGATGGCGTGGCTAATTCGCATGTTGAAGGGCGAGTTGATCCTGGTCTGCCTCTTGCCAGGGTAAGCAAGGACTGAATCTCTCATCAAAACAAGAAAAGACGACTAGGTAACGAGACGAAGGTTGTAGAAAGCGTGTTTGAAATAGCTAGCGTCTCTAGTAGGCGTGAGGCATTCTCGATACACTTTGAGAGCAAAACGTGAATCCAGGGGTTCAATTCATACCCTATCCCGCTGCATTTGACAACTATCTCAAGCCTCGACTTGATTTGCAACTCGATTCCGTTGCAGGGATCAATGTTTACCTGTGTTTCATCCGATTCACTATACATAGAGTAAGGCTCCCTGCTACTCGCACCCCCTCCCCCAGGGTTCGATAGAGTTAGATACACAGCCTCTCTGTCACCTCTAGCGGCGATCCCGCTGACGCCTTCCACATCTGCCGGCTTGCTATGCCAAGCTCACAAACCAACGCTCGGCTTAGGGGAGGGGGAGAGGGTCGGCTTGACTGCATACCAACCTTCCCCATCAGGTCTCCCACTCCAACGCGTCGGCGGATCAAACTTACCCGTTATTACTGAGACAACAGTTAACCTCTCCGGATGGCTGGCCCCTTGCGACTCAGGTTGTTATCCCCAAGCATCCCACCAAAGGTGCATATTCAACGCCTACTGTTTGAGTGGACAATGCATTTGCCTTGAATTGGTAAGATTGGGCCGTATCGGCAATGACCAAGGCCTATTGATCCGCTTCGCCGAGCCGCATTATGCTACATGCAGCATGGCACCGACCCTTTTTTACTAAATCTTGTCACTTGGATACTTCGAACACCCGTTGAGTTGCCAAGACAACGGGCCTGACGTCTGAATATCCAGCCCGTGAGTGAACATTGTATACCTGCAATTCAATTTCCCCAGGGGGACCCGCTGGAACCTGGCTTTCGCCTGCCGCGGGCACCCAGCTGTTAAAACCGCTCCAGACCTGCAGTAAGGGAATTGACTGAAAGCCATGGGTCTCCCTGCCACTTCCTAATAGGCCAAGTCGAAACATGTACCATATATCGAACGTCCCCTTTTCCTACAGGTTATGGGAAGATGCCATTCGGTCAAGGCAGTGTGGTTAATACGGCGGATCCGTTAGCTGTTAAGCGCAACGCCCTTGTTGATGCAAGGCGTCATCCCATCTAGAACAGAGATAGGCTTGATGATGCTGAGCCGAGGCTGGAGGCTCTTCGCAGTGGCTATCGTTAAATGGGTACTTAAAATCGACTATATCGTTGACCCGTACTTCAGCCTACTCGATGCATAAGGTAGGACGCAGGGCAACGAAATCCATTAGGCTGGTAAATTTCAACGCGTAGTTTGATCGTATGGGCTCACTCATTTAATGTACTCGATGTGGAAGGTAGGGCGCAGGGAAAGATGGTGGGCAGCCTTGAGATTCCAGCACTATGCCTGATAGACCGACATCTTCACATCATGGCGCGAAACGCAACCCCTGTGGACGACATTTCACGCTGCCACCCACCCACACACGCGACGAGTAGCGTAGCAGTTGATCCGTTCTGATACTTGGCAATGAGGAGAGTTCTGCGTCTATCGGTCCATGTAAGTATTTAAGCATGCCCGTGTCGTCTCTTGGTCGTCTCTTGGTCGTCTCTTGGTCGTCCTCAAAATCCACATCGTGCTCTACCTCCAGCGTTTAATCTCTCCTTTTCAGGTCCTAGCGATCTATTAAGTCTTCCGTCCACCTTTCAGTACCAACAGTGCAGGCACTTTTGATAACATTATACTTTATTCGCAATGCTTTCTCTCCGTTCTTTTGTTATTGCCCTCTCCTTCTTCGCCTGGGCTTCATGCCACTCATTAATACAGGAAGCTAATGGGATAAAGGGCTCTCCAACCAGTTTTGGGTTTGGACGTATTATTCCCAGCCTAATATTTGAGGAATAGATTGCTAAATATTTCTCAGGGAACAAGGATATGGATGAAATCCGGTCACTCGCCGCCTCCACGAAGGCCGGAGACAGTAAATCCGACGAGCCCTTAATCAGTGAACCAATCTTGCAGCTAGACTCCTCAATTTTGGTCAAAGAAGAAGCTGAAAATAAGGTCACTAATAAATGTGGACGCACAAGCCTAGAATTTATCGATATGGGGTCAAATCTGCTACAGGCTTCGGACAATGGCGACGTCACCGAGGTTAAAAGTGGGGGAACGTGCACTGTCAACCTTCTCCAAATCAATCAAGACGGTGGCGGCCCGTTCAAAGCCACTATGGACCTTGATGGCGTTGGGGCATTTGACGTGGTAAGAAGCACGGATATAAACATTAATCGATCGAGCGCAAAACTAATAATAACTAAAGGACGTTCAAGTCACAAAAAACGTAGATGGAGTTACGGGATTCTTAAATGAGGCCGTCAAAGAACATGAAATCGAGTTAAAGATGCCCGAAGATCTAAACTGCCAAGCAGGTGAGGCTCTGCTCTTTACAAGCAACGAAGAGTTTCTCCTTACATTTCTAGGACCTCAACGAGACCAGTGTCTTATACGCCTCGGAAATGGCAATCCGGCTGGAGAGTTTGGCGGTTGCTTCACAGTGCGGCAGGTCGATAAGGGCAACAATGGCAACGGCGGCAACGGCAACAACGGCAACGCCAACGCCAACGCCAAAGGCAAAGGAAATGGAAAGAAAGGCAACGCCAACGCCAGCGGCAACGGCAATGGCAACGACGGCAACGGCAAGAAAGGCAACAGCAACAACGCCAGAAAATCCCAGGCCAACAAGGCCCAGGGCCCTAAAAGACGCCAGGCCAGGAGAGCCAACAATGCAGGAAACAAGAACAGTCTTGAGAATAGAGCTGGTGTGCCGGACACGGGGAAAATTGCCGAGGAACAGAAGAAGAATAAAATTGCATTGGGGGAGACTTTACAGCAGCTGAGAAAGCAGAATGGGGTCGCCGGCAATGGCAAAAACGCAAACGGCAACAACGCCAACGGTAACAACGCCAACGCCAACGCCCAAGACAACGGCAGCAAGTCTAAGGACAACAAGGGCCCAGGTGGCAAAGGACAACAAGGCCCAGGGGGTAAGGCCAAGGGCCCAGGGGGTAAGGCCAAAAGCCCAGGGAGCCAAGGACAACAAGGCCTAGGGGGTAAGGCCAAGGGCCCAGGGGGTAAGGCCAAAGGCCCAGGGAGCCAAGGACAACAAGGCCCAGGGGGTAAGGCCAAGGGCCCAGGGGGTAAGAACAAGGCCCCAGGGCCCCAGGGCAACAATGTCAAGGCCAAGGTCGCAGGGGGAAAGGGCAATAAGGCCTAGAATGGCAACCAGACTAGCGAATCTATCGACTAATATAGGTGATATATAGGTATAGATTAATATAAATCTACTATCTACCTAAGGTCTATATAGGTAATTTATCTATCTACCTAGCTTTCGGTAAATAAAAAATATATATAGATAAACTAAGAAAGGCCTTACTTAGGGAGTAAACCGCTTTACCTAGTATATAAACTATAAGTAGGATAGCTATAGCATTAAAAGTAAAGAGAACTTAAAATTTATACTTATTTATTTATTTAATAGTTTTAATTAAATACTCTTATAGCTAACTTTAGGCTTTAAGCTAACTTAAATCTTAACTTTAATATATAAAAAGCTAACTAACTTAGATTTTAGTTTATAAAGATTATACCTTAAGGAATATAGTAATAAAAAGTTCTATTAGTTTCCCTAAAAGATAAAAACACCGCTATTAAATTTTCTCCTATAAATTCCGCCCTTTACTTATTATTACGGGTCGGCCCTACGAGGGCTAAACCGGTGGTTATACTACTATTCGTTGCTACGGGGCGCAGCTATTTTATTAGACTACTACGTTACGACGGCGGCAGAGGGCAAAAGAAGACGAATTAACTAAGCAGCCTAGCTAGCTAATTAATCACGCCTATTAATAGTCGGTTGCGTGGGAGCAGCCCGGAGGCATAGCTTAGCCTAGCCCGTAATACTTATCTACTAAATCTTACTTCTTATTAGTCGGTTATTAATCTAGCCTTTTTCTAGCCCTTTACCTTACTACCGCTACTACTATTATTACTACTTACTACTCTTATAAAGAGAGATATAAGAAGTATTATTAAGGGGTCCTCCTTAAGAGACTTTTTAATAATATCTTTTAGTCCCTTAAGAAGCATAATTCTAAAAAGTTAACTTTTCTTAAAGACCTACTAGTAGTCTTCTAGCTTATAGGGCCTTTTATACGATTAGTAAGTAGGTCGATTCTTTCTTATTTATTATTTCTTTAAGGAGTCCTTATCTTTTTTTAGAAGGTTTACTTAAAGACCCCCCCTTTTTATACCTTATTAATAAAATATATAAAGGTAAAATAGGAAGTAAGGAGTCGGATAAGTAAAGCAAAGTTATTTAATTCTAATAAGGGTAATAATTTTAGGAAGGGAATAATTATTATATTGCCTTAATTATCCTTCTTTTCTCGTAAAGAGAGATGCGAGAAGTATATATAAAATGCACGAAGGTAAAATTAAAAGTAAGGGGTCGGACAGGCAGGGCCAAGCTATTTAATTCTTACGGGGGCAGCAATTAAGGTAGGGGAGTGATTGTTATATTGCCTTAATTCTCCTTCTTTCCTTTATCTAACGCCCCTCTTTATACCTATCTAGCATCTTAATTAACAAAGAAGATCCTGCTTAAAGAAGCTACTAATATCCTTTTAACTACCGAGCTTTTTACCGGTTTTCCCCTCCTTTTTAGCCGTTGCCGGTATATCCGTCTTATCTCTCGCTACTTATACTTTCCTTCTTCTATACCGGGTATTTTTAGCTTCCTTAGTCCCTCTTATTAAGGGATATCTCCGAGAACTACGAAATTAGGACACGCTTCGCGATACACCCCCTTAGCTATAGCCTGCCTCTTAAGGGCATAGCTAATACGGCTTCGGGCTAGTAAGCGTATAGAGGAGGTTCTTAGCTCTATACTTCTCCCTTTACTCGAGGAAAGTAGGGGCCCTTTTAGGTCCTAAGGCTCTTTTAGACCTACTTAAGGAATAAGGGCCTAAAGAGGGGAAAGTCCTATAAGAAAGGGGGCCTTCTTAGAAGGGAAAACCCTAATTAAATAGGGGGCCCTTTAAAGGGAAAACCTCTTCCTTCTTCTTTAGCTATAGACGTTACCTTCTTATACGGGCTATTAGCTCTTCTTATAGAGTCTTAAGGCGGGCCTCTAAGGATAGCTTTTCTTAAACGTCTTCTAGCCTAATTTACTATAAAAAGACAGCTAGCTTCTACTTTAATAGGGGCTTCGTAAGACCGTCGGCTTTTATCGATACTATTAGAACCTAACGGACGGAAATAAGTCCCCTTTAGACCTCTTAGCATAACTAATACTAGTAAATATCGATATACTATAGCTAGGTCGATAGCTTACTATTTTCCTTTATAAGAATTCGTATAGTCTATATATTATCGTATTCTATAGCTAACGGGGACGGAATTTATAGTCGTAAAGAAATAAGTAGCCGGCTAAGGAAAATCGCTTCCTTTAATGCTTTAAAAGAGCTAGTAGCTCTGCCTTTATACTTAAGATCTTAACGGTAGCTTACTTTAAAGCTCTCTAAGTAATAGTTCCTTTAAAAAGGGATATAATATACCCCTATAAGCTCTTTCTATTTAAGGAATTATCTATAAAGGACGAATCGCTCGAATAAAGGAAGATTTCGGCAGCTAATTTCTTCCTTCCTTACCCTCCTAAGTATAGACTATATAATCTCGTTAAATAGAGATAAAGGATAGCTCTATCTACTACTTCTTAATACCTAGGGCTAGGATTCTAGTTATAACTAGCTAGCTAGGAGACTATAAAAGAGATATCCGGTCTAGTAGAAATAGCTAAAAAAAGCAGGGAGCCTACCTTCTATTAATATTAGTGTTTCTCTTACTCCCTAGCTTAAAAGGACGGATTAGGTAAAAGCTCTTTATTTAATATAGGCGTAGAAGGAAGCTTCTTATTAAGGGAACTAAGGAGGAATTTATAAGCGACCTTATCGATATAGGCGTCTTAAGTAAGCTAGATAGTCCGTTAGGACCTATTCTAAAAGATTCGTATCCCTAGGAACTACTTTAGCTCCCTTAGCTTAGTTATCTTATACCTTTATTATAGGCCTTTTATAGCCTCCCTTATAGTAGCTTCTTCCTCTTTTAGGTAGGCCTAGATAATATCGTCGATATAGAAAAAGACCGTGATTTTACCCTTTTATATTATATACGGTTCCTAAGGGACTTTCTTAAAGCTTAGGGCTTTAAGGGAACCTATTACATACTATTACTAAAGAAATAGTAATCTTTATAGTCTATATAAAGCTTTCCTAAGCTATAGAACTTTTCCTAGCTATTAGAAGCTTAGTAGAAGGCGTATATAGATAACTTCTTCTTCCTTAAGTAGGTAGTTAATAAAGGCGTTAACTATATTTATCTAAGTAAGTTCGAGGTCGAATTCTACTACTATAGCTATAAGGGTCTAAAAATATATCCTTACTAAAGTAGTTGCCTTAGTAAGTAGATCCCCTTTTTCCTATTAATTCCTATAGATAACTAGCTAGGCTTTATACTTTTAAAGGAAGCTATATTTATTAGTCTTATAGATAAAGACCTACTTATAGCTAAGGACCTATTTTCCTCTTACCTTTTCCTTAAGGACCTCTTTAAAAGACCCTATCTCTTTATATAAGTCTAGGTAGTCTTTCTAGGCCTAGAAAAACTAGTCTTTAAAGGGGTATCTTTCTAGCTACTTTTAGTTTACTAGTAGGTCTAGGAGGTCTCTTTTATATACCTTCCTTACTAATAGCTATAGCTTAAAAAGCCGGCCTACTATAAACGCTTTATAAGAACTGTCTTCTATAGGCGTTAGATAGAAGTTAGAGAACCGATCGAAGTAAGGGAGAGGTTAGTCTTCTTTAGTAACTATATTAGGCCCTATACCTTCCTTTGCTTCTTAAAGTAAGGATAAAAAGGCAGCCGGGTAATCTATTAAAAGAGGTGCCTTTCCTACCCCCTTAAGGGTCGAGACTAAAAAACTAACTAAAAAAGCTACTTTTAGATCTTCTTCTTATTCTATAAAAGGAGGCGTAGGAAGGTAAGCGTATTCTAGCTCTATTACTTTCCTATAGTCTCCTACTTTATTTAGATTATTTAATTTAGTAGCTTCTTCTTTTTCTACGAAGTTAGCGTTATCTATAACTACTTCGACGTCGGTTTCTTCTTCTATTTCCTTATCTAAGACCTCTTTTTAAGACTATTAGAAAAGGGGGATTTAGATCTTTTAAATTAGCTAATATTATAAGAGTAAGAGGGGCTATTAATCCTTCTTTCTATTAAAGAAGCTAGATTTATCGAAAATTATATCCCTAGTTAAAATAACCTTCTATAAAAGAGGAATCTAGATCTAGAAGATATTTATAGAATTATAGCTAATAAGGTAACTAATAAAGGCTCTAGGATTAAGCTTTCTTTTCTTTTTCCTTTTTAGCTATATATCGGTAGTTATAGCGTATACCCTATAGCTATAAGTATAAAGGTAAGCTAGCGAGGCCCTCTTCTTTATAAAGAGCTTAAGAAGAGATTTCTAGTTTATTCCTTAGGTCTTAAAAAGGGTCTCTAAGTTCCTATAGTCCCTTAGGCCCCTAGGGTCCCTTAGGGTTTAGTTCTAAAAGTAATAGGTAGTCTTAATAACTTCCTTTTAAAGGTTATAGGGAAGCTTTATAGTAAGACTTACTATATAGGCCCTTTCTATTATAGTACCCCTTAATCTCTCTACCCCTCCGTTCTAGGCCTAGGTATTCGGTATAAATAGGAGGGGTAAAATGCCTATTTTTCGTAGCTAATTTAAGATATCTTTTATAAATAGCTCTCTATTAATTTATATCTTCTTTACCTTATAGCTAAAGTAGGATTTTATCTAGTTAACGAAGTCCTAGAAGGTAAACTAGTTATACTTACTTAGGTAGGTATATAAAAATAAGGGAAAGCTATCCCTAAAAAAGCGTTTATAAAAGATATTACTATTATAAAGCTTTCTTAGTCCTTAGAGACGTTAGTTTAGTCGACCTAAATTTCCTTATATAGCTAGTCCGGCCGTAAAGGGGTTTATCTAGAAATTCGTCTCTTAGTCTTTCCTTAGCTATAGGATTTATATTTAATAGTCTTTAGTCCCCTTATTTATACGCCCTATTATTAGCTTAGCTTATATAAAGCTAGGGGGCCTAGGTAACTAAGTTATATATACTAAAGAAGACCGTCTCCTTAAGCTAC